GGTATCGGTGCATTCCTAGTTGTCACCCTAAAGCAGGAAGTGTCTGAACATGGAAAGAGCTAAGACAATGTTTACATTGCTCCACATGTTTCTTAAAGTTACAGAACATTAAGAAATGTCTAATTCTTGTATATTACAAGTGCTGATTATGAGCGGTCTATGAGGGTGACAACGCTTCCTGAGCTCCATGGAACATGTGACGTAATAAATGATCATTGCACAGATTTGTATCTGGGAGAGGAAAGAGCTGATATGAAATGTTCCACCAGAGGGCGCTCTGATCCCGGTTATCACAATGATATTATTAGCACATGCACTGTACTGGGTCTGAGAAACCAGGCAGGTGATTTTTGTATCTCTCTCTGATCAATGTTTATATACAATGTTACTTTGTATCTCTCTATCTCCCTCTGATCAATGTTTATATACAATGTTACTTTGTATCTCTATCTCCCGCTGATCAATGTTTATAAACAATGTTACTTTGTATCTCTCTATCTCCCTCTGATCAATGTTTATATAAAAAGTTTCTTTTTATCTCTCTATCTCCCTCTGATCAATGTTTATATACAATGTTACTTTGTATCTCTCTATCTCCCTCCGATCAATGTTTATAAACAATGTTACTTTGTATCTCTCTATCTCTCACTGATCAATGTTTGTAAACAATGTTTCGTGGGATTTATGGAGATAAGGTTTCCGGGAACTCAGGTTAGTAAATAAAACCTTTTTAATGGATGGATGTCAATCTGAAGTGGGCGTTTCGAGGCAGGCTTCATTTGCATGCAGACCACCCTAGGTAACAGCCACATGGGATTGTGAGCCCCCATGAATGAAAGAAGAGACTGGGGAGGAAAGCATAGATGATGCTGGATGTCCTCCAGCCGGGAAATGAGGCGGAGCTCTATCTGACTTGCTGCAGCTTCTAATGCACATCGTGAGGAGCTCGCAGTGTGCGGTGAAATCAGAGGAAGAGGAGAGGAGCCGCTACAACTGTACAAGACTGAAAGTCATCTTTAAGCTGAGGCTACTAGCAAGTGGAATTCAGGTTCTCACACAGCTTGCACCTAAATAATCAATTTATTGATTAATTAATGAATCCAAAGCTGCATTAATTTGTGTCTTGTTTTATCTGCTCGGAGTTCAGCTTTAATTATTATTTTAGTTCTGAGTATAATTCAGAAAAATAAAATACACCGGCAGAACCGTTCACCTCTCAGCCGTCTCTTCTGGTTTTTTTTTTCTTTTTGCAAAACAAAGAAGAAAAAAAAACCTGATGGTTTGTGACGAGCAGCCGAAGCTTCGATAACAGGAAAGAGGTGAGTGGAGAGGGGAAGGAGCGCAGCGCGATCAACCGCCGTGCAGATCAGATGATAACAAGACGTTTCAAACCTCAACCAGAACCCATCAGATAACTCCCTCAGCTTCTTCTATTCATTTCTATAGCAATTAGCTTCAGTCCCTGCACCCGAGGAGCTGACAATCTAAAGGTGGCCATACACTTTACAACCCTCGCAAGACCTTAGTCCTGCGAGGGTTGTAAAGTAATTTAAAAAACGTACGATCTGCCCATCTTGGACAGGCAGATCGTACTTGCGATCATGGCAAGCCCGCCCCCCTGAGAGTTAGGGTTAGCAATGCTGAACGGGCAGTGTGCCCGTGCGGCACTGATCTTACGAATACGATCATGCTAAAAACCAGCCGAAAATCGTACGATTCTCGGCTGGTTTTCTAGCGTGCTCCATAGACAAAAGACGTGCGACCGTACAGTAAAACCGGTCTCACGTCTTCAATACACTTTGCGATTATCGTACGATCGCGGGATTTCCTGTCATTATCGTGCAATAATCGCACAGTGTATGGGCACCGTAAGGCCCTCATTATCCCCCCAGCATGTCTTCGGGTAAAAGCTCATACAAGCACGTGGGCAACATGCTGACTCCATGCAGAGGGCTGTCCCTGCAATGAGGCAGCCTGAGGGTCACATGTCACTCCCCTTTCCGGCCAGAGCACCCCAAGTTGCCAAGATGGGCAAGGGCCGTACACATCTCCCAGCTTAGCTCTTAGAACCTGAACTGCTCCAACCGGTGTCCCACCCAGCTCCTGGCAACCAGTGACAGCAGTGGTTGCCAGGAGCTGGGCAGGATGCCGGCCAGAGCTGGGCATGGAGACGATGTAGAGAAAACCAAGGACCCCAATGCTGCAAGGCAGAACCACTAACCACTAGACCGCTGTGTCTATCCAATGCCGGTCAATCTATGAATCCACATTGGTGCCAATAGATGTAGATTTCAGAAAATGAGGATAAGCGAAGTAAAGAGTTCTCATTTTCCTCAAAGTTTGCCAGAAATTGGAAGATTTGGGTAAAATTTGGGCCTTTTTTTGGTGAAAAGCATTCGTCTCAGTAGGATTGGTGATATTAAGTGTTTTTTTGTGGTTTTTGAGGGTTCCTGCATCCGGAAAGTTACAGAATCACCCCCCGACCCCCCATCCTGAACCTCTCCTTGTGCCTTGTTAGCCCTGTGATGTTATTACAAAAAGTTCTTCAAAAATTGCCCTCAAACTTTGCCATGTGGAACACACAGGTACGGGGACTCTCAATGACTGGGACACACAGGTACGGGGACTCTTAATGACTGGGACACACAGGAACGGGGACTCTTAATGACTGGAACACACAGGTACGGGGACTCTTAATGACTGGGACACACAGGAACGGGGACTCTTAATGACTGGAACACACAGGTACGGGGACTCTTAATGACTGGGACACACAGGAACGGGGACTCTTAATGACTGGAACACACAGGTACGGGGACTCTTAATGACTGGGACACACAGGAACGGGGACTCTTAATGACTGGAACACACAGGTACGGGGACTCTTAATGACTGGGACACACAGGAACGGGGACTCTTAATGACTGGAACACACAGGTACGGGGACTCTTAATGACTGGGACACACAGGAACGGGGACTCTTAATGACTGGAACACACAGGTACGGGGACTCTTAATGACTGGGACACACAGGAACGGGGACTCTTAATGACTGGAACACACAGGTACGGGGACTCTTAATGACTGGGACACACAGGAACGGGGACTCTTAATGACTGGAACACACAGGTACGGGGACTCTTAATGACTGGGACACACAGGAACGGGGACTCTTAATGACTGGAACACACAGGTACGGGGACTCTTAATGACTGGGACACACAGGAACGGGGACTCTTAATGACTGGAACACACAGGTACGGGGACTCTTAATGACTGGGACACACAGGAACGGGGACTCTTAATGACTGGAACACACAGGTACGGGGACTCTTAATGACTGGGACACACAGGAACGGGGACTCTTAATGACTGGAACACACAGGTACGGGGACTCTTAATGACTGGGACACACAGGAACGGGGACTCTTAATGACTGGAACACACAGGTACGGGGACTCTTAATGACTGGGACACACAGGAACGGGGACTCTTAATGACTGGAACACACAGGTACGGGGACTCTTAATGACTGGGACACACAGGAACGGGGACTCTTAATGACTGGAACACACAGGTACGGGGACTCTTAATGACTGGGACACACAGGAACGGGGACTCTTAATGACTGGAACACACAGGTACGGGGACTCTTAATGACTGGGACACACAGGAACGGGGACTCTTAATGACTGGAACACACAGGTACGGGGACTCTTAATGACTGGGACACACAGGAACGGGGACTCTTAATGACTGGAACACACAGGTACGGGGACTCTTAATGACTGGGACACACAGGAACGGGGACTCTTAATGACTGGAACACACAGGTACGGGGACTCTTAATGACTGGGACACACAGGAACGGGGACTCTTAATGACTGGAACACACAGGTACGGGGACTCTTAATGACTGGGACACACAGGAACGGGGACTCTTAATGACTGGAACACACAGGTACGGGGACTCTTAATGACTGGGACACACAGGAACGGGGACTCTTAATGACTGGAACACACAGGTACGGGGACTCTTAATGACTGGGACACACAGGAACGGGGACTCTTAATGACTGGAACACACAGGTACGGGGACTCTTAATGACCGGAACACACAGGTACAGGGACTCTTAATGACCGCAACACACAGGTACGGGGACTCTTAATGACAGCGACACACAGGTACGGGGACTCTTAATGACCGGAACACACAGGTACAGGGACTCTTAATGACAGGAACACACAGGTACGGGGACTCTTAATGACCGGAACACACAGGTACGGGGACTCTTAATGACCGGAACACACAGGTACGGGGACTCTTAATGACTGGAACACACAGGTACAGGGACTCTTAATGACTGGAACACACAGGTACGGGGACTCTTAATGACTGGAACACACAGGTACGGGGACTCTTAATGACTGGAACACACAGGTACGTGGACATTTCAGCACCCATTACACAGACATGATCCACTGTTGCCACCATTAGGAAACCCGCCCTGAGAAATGTCATGTGACCAGGGACATCCCTATAATAAGGCAGCTTCAGACGGTTGCCTCAGGCAACATCTCATGGGGGGGGGAGGGGGCAGAGTGTCCCATAAGGTTTCTCTTAGCAACCTGGGATGCTTTGTCCAGAGTTCCACCCAGATCCTGGCAACCAATGATATCAGTGAGCTGGGCAGGACGCGGTATTCCACACTCCCACCCATCACTGGAGTCATGTAAACAGGAAGTGGCTGCCAAGAGGATGCAGGAGATCAGCAGCACTGAGAGAGAGCACAGAGACAGAGGAGGAAACAAGGTGATAACAAGGATTTAATTTAGTAACAATGACACAGAATATAAACCTTCCCCGGGGCGTATACAATGTATATATTTGTAGACTCGTCATTGTCTTCTGCGTTGAATTATTTTTCTTGAGAATGTTACGAATAGAAACAGAAAGTCTAATAACAGGAAATGAGTAAGACGGGTTTTTTTGGTGACAGGAAGAACGAGGCGACAGAAGCAGAACGTTCACCCATCATGTAGATCAGAATGATAAAAGGAAGGTGTTGGTGCTGAGTGACCTGAAGCGGGAAACTATCAGCTCTGAGGATCGGGGACATCACAATGGAGAGGCTCCTGGAGGACGTCTGACCAATCTTCGAGGCTCTTCATCCCCTGAACCCCCTCTTCTACCAGTTCCGGGGGGACAGACGAACCCTTGGAGAACCTCCTGGGCCATGGGACCTTCTCTAGTTCTCCTTCTCATCCTCTCAGCCCTGAGCAGTCCGGTCCAAGGCAGCGGCAATGCGGGTAACTACCGATCCCACGCACCACGTTCTGTGCGTTCCGTCTTCTTGTGGGGGGAGGAATTTGTATTATGAATGTGAAGAGGACGTGAAAGGTTTATTTTTTCCGGTTGAGTCTTTTACTGGGTTGGCCACCAATTCGCGTGGACGGTTTGGGGTTCTTAGTACGATTCTTGAAGCCCATTGGACGGAAATTTTCATTGTTTGACAAAATTGACTTTATTTCGGGTGGTCACGTGACCACACAGCCTTGCTGTAGGCCCCTCTTCTGTACAGCGGGGATGTGTGGTCACGTGACCACCCGAAATAAAGTCAATTTTGTCAAACAATGAAAATTTTCTCAATCCCCCCCCCTAGAGAATGCATTAGGGGGGCTTCTCATGCCCTCTGTCAATCCGTGGAGGGGCATTGTCACAGTAAGAACGCTGATCCAGAGCGGGACGCTGACAAGACGCACAGCGAGGAAGTACGTTCCTCATCTGAGCACGCTGAAGTTTTTATGGTGAGGCTCCTGGTGGGAGTCGCTGTCAATCAAAACAGCTAGGCTGGGCGGGGGTGGGGTGTCGGATGAACTGACCGTGGGAGGTACAGGCATTCCGCGCATCAGAATGGCGGTTTGTATCTCCAAAGAGGGAGCAAGGAGACGCAAAATCAAGGCGCCAGCACGGATCTACTCCAGTGCTTGTCATAGTTGGGATTAAAAAGGATGTAAGGGGTCTGGCCGGATCAGTTCCCCCACTGAGGGGAGGGGGGGGGCATGTCCATGACACCCTGGTCTTACAGGAAGTGGGTTGAATGATGCTGGCCAAGGGCATACTCTGATTGTAAATGAAATTAATGAAATGAATGAAAGCAAGGGGAATGGGCGGGTGGGGACGTTCGTGACCCGCCGACATGAATCTCCTCCCACAAATCCAGGCTAGCTTTTCGGCCAGCCTTCAAACTTATTGTTCCAGGTCCTGGTCTGAGATTTATTTTTGTTATATATTTGTAAAGCTTAAAATAAAAATGTCCCACAATTTTCTATGCAAACCTTATCGAGAGTTGGAGGTCGGGGGGTCAAAACCCTTTAACTCTGACAGCTGAGACAGTACGGAAAATTGAACTGACTGTATGTATTAAATGATATGTATATAACCGATTGACCGCGTGTACGGTCTGGAACCTGCATATGATTGCACGGGGTGGGGCTTCCATTGACCCCCAGGAACACTGGGAGGTTCCCCATGTACTAGAATCCATAGGGAGCCATACAGCCTCAGGGCCCGGATTCAGATGCCCAACAGCCACCACATACAATCCTTTGGTTTTTTTTTAAATCAGTTCCTGAGCTTAAAACCTGACTGGGATGTTGAAGATGAGCAGCAAGTCCCCCAGTGTAGATGATTTACCTTAATGCGCAAAGTTGGCCATGACAAGTGTGAAGGTTTTATAAGTGATGGGCATGTGCACAATACAACCAAACATTGGTGGACACCTGACCATCGCACCTATAAGAGCTGGCTGGACATCCCATTCCAGAGGCATGGCCGTTAATATGGAGTTGCCTTCCCATGGCCACTATTATGGAGTTGCCCTCCATGGCTATTAATATGGATTTGCACCCTCAACCCACCTTCCCATGGTCATTAATATGGAGTTGGTGCTCCATGGCCATTTATATGGAGTTGCCCTCCATGGCCATTTATATGGATTTGCACCCCAGTCTTCCCACGGGCATTAATATGGGGTTGGGCTCCATGGCCATTTATATGGAGTTGCCCCTTTCCCATTAAGATGGAGTTCACCTTGATATTGAATATCTCTCCCAACCATCTTACTGGGGCCCCCAAAGCCTGCTGATTGGCAATGATGAGTCCCCCAACATTGATTGCAGGGAGTGTCCAGCACACCCTGCAGGAACAAGCTCAAGCAGCAACTATCTAGGACCTAATACACTCCTGAAGGACACCCACAAAACATACAGACACGATGGCTAGAGCTTTCTGCTTCCTGCAGAGATACAAAAACAGGCCCAAAAATAAAATACTGCAACCCTATGTATAGAAATGTGAGGCGTCTCCAACTCCATTATTAGCTTTGACTGTCACCTATTGTATACCGCATATCACATGGTGTGTTTGTTGTGTTATGCAGAGGTGGAGTGCGTTATGAATACAGTCAAAGTCCTGACGTGTACCTGGAACCACCCACAACACCCAACCGAGAACTACACATTCTACTACTGGTGAGTTTTCTACCCTCGGAGGTCATCGGGTCCAGATTCAAGTTTAGCAGTCTCAGTATACATCACGTAGAGCGTATCTAAGACCAAAACATGTTCTGTTCAAGTTTTGGATGGCGCGTGGATGGGTTAGACCTCCCGTCAGAGGGTCAGGTCTAGGTATTGCTGTCTGGGTAGATCACCCTTTGTTTGTCCTGGTGGCCATTGTTTTAAAAACAGGAAGTGATTGGAAACCCCAAACTGGAGGAAAAACGGGGACACCTGTTCTAGTTACATAGTATTTGAGGTTGAATAAAGAAATTAGTCCATCAAGTCCAACCTATTAGGATCTCATTCCTAGGAGTACCTGTACCCCTGTATATTACTTGTACCCCTGTATATTACCTGTACCCCTGTATATTACCTGTACCCCTGTATATTACCCGTACCCCTGTATATTACCCGTACCCCTGTATATTACCTGTACCCCTGTATGTTACCTGTACCCCTGTATATTACCTGCACCCCTGTATATTACCCGTACCCCTGCATAGTACCTGTACCCCTGTATATTACCCGTACCCCTGTATAGTACCTGTACTCCTGTATGTTACCTGTACCCCTGTATATTACTTGTACCCCTGTATATTACCTGTACCCCTGTATATTACCTGTACCCCTATATATTACCTGTACCCCTGGATGTTACCTGTACCCCTGTATATTACCTGTACCCCTGTATATTACCTGTACCCCTGTATATTACCTGTACCCCTGTATATTACGGTCCCTTACGAAATCGTCCAAAAGTTTCTTGAACAATTCCACATTCTTTGCTGAAATCACCGCCTGTGGCAGTGAGTTCCGGACCCTAACTGATCTCACAGCCCCTTGTGCTGGAACTTCTTTTCCACCAATTTTAGGTGATGGCCTCTAGGTAATGGTTCTAGAACTCTATAAGTGGGATTTCTGTCATGTGGACAGATTTGGTCTCACTTCCTGTTGTGTCTCTCCCTGGTGCATCATGCAGGTTGCCTGCATCCCATTCCCTCTTTCAGTGTGTGCTGGTGTAGTGGATATGTGGAGCGATTTGGCCAAAATTGATTTCATGTGAATCCAAATTCTGTCTCAATGAGCAGAAAGCTTTCTAAAAAAAATCAGGTGATCACCATTATAGGTGCAGACATGGGTGTGTTGGTAAACAAAGGGTTAGGGTCAGCCTTTAGGGTTAGTGGTTGGGTTTAGACCCCTCGGGTCATGCTCCCAGCTAAAAAAGGGCCATTTCTGTTTGCACAAGAACATATCCAGGATAGGTCAAAGTGCGGGGGTCACTAGTGGCAACAGGACCCAGTGGACCACTGCTGCCTAAAAGCCATGCTAAGACAAAGTCAAAGATCACAGACATCTGGGGGGGCACGAGGAAGAAAGGGACTGGTGGCCAAATGTGAAATGGCTCAGCAAAAACAGGAAGGACTTCAGGCCCGCGGAGCAATGTTTGTTATATGGGCATTTGTCGTGTGTGAGGAACCTTTAAAGGAGAACTACGAGGTCAGGGCTTTTCCCCCATAGTTCTCCTTAGGGTGACGGGAGGACACAAACTAGCGTCCTCCCGTCACCCTAAGCTCAGTATATAGGGAGCTACAGCTCGCGGTATACTGAGACGCCGCAGCCGGAGCGGATCCCGAAAATCATGCCGGGATCCGCCCAGCTGCGTGAGTGACAGCTGGCTCCGCCTATCTAGAGGCAGAGCCAGCTGTACCCGCCCCCTCCCCCGTCCGTTCTGCCAGTCAGCGCTGGCGGATCGGAGCGGGGTGGGGGGAATCCAGCCCCTCCCCCTGTCACGGCAGAGAGCAGTGACAGGATCGAGAGGTGAGCGAACGCCGGTATGTGTTCCCTCACCTCCCGATCTACTGAGCCGACCTGTGACAGTCTCATTGTCACACGTCGCCCCGAACTATGAGGTGAGTGAAAAGCACCCCCCCTCCCCCCCTCATAGTTCTCCTTTATTGGTAACATTGTAATTGGTTTGTGTCGTTCTGCTGCTATGTTGGACTTGGTTTTTGTCCTAAATAAAAATGTAAACAATAGTAAATGATAGCAGCAGTTTAATTTGGCCCCACTGCTCAAAGTCCCGCTTTTCAAGTCACAGCTGAAGTCTCGGCATCAAATATTTATTTTCGGGCGTCATAGAAATAATGATAAATAAATGTCTTATTTTCTATATAATCCCTCAGTCCAACCCCCCCCCTAGTCTGCCGAGGAGGGCCCCTGAGCCCCGTGCCAGAACAGAGACATCTTGGAAGATCCAAATAATGAATGAAAACCTTTAATTTGTGTTTTGGGTTTGCTCTGGTGGCGGCACAAAGGTGAAATTCGTGGTGAAGGAAGAAGGAAGCGTGACCAGGTTCTACTGCTACTAGACATGTGCGATTCGTTTCGTTACGAATCGAAATTCGTACGAATTTTCCTGAAATTCCGAATGGCAGTTTACGAATTATATCCGAAATACGAAATTCCGTTAACGAATTTCGGATTCGAATTTCTCTGAAACGGGAACTAATATTACCCCTGTAAATGAGGTTGAACAACATGACAAGATTTTTTTTTTAATCCGAAATACGGATCCGCTGATGCCGAGAGTCGCATTACACAGGCAGGAAATACGAAATTCCATTGACGGAATTTCGTTCCGTTACGAACATTCGTTATATATTGAAGTTAAAAAGCAAAGTACATTTATATTGGAGTTGATGGTAGTTTTTTTTTATCCGAAATACGAAATTCGGATCCGGAATCCGTTAACGGAATTCGTATTTCGGATAAAAAAACAACTACCCCATCGACTCCAATATTAACAAAGGCATTTTTGCTTTTTAACTTCATCATAACGAATGTTGGTAAAGTTACGAAAATGTGCCGAAACTAACGCAAATCCGTATTTCGTACGAATCCGAATTGAGTTTCGGACACGAATTACGAAATAACGGATATCCCGGAACGAAACGAAACAAATTTTTTGATGGCGCACAAGTCTAACTGCTACAGAAACACCACAAAACTGTGATCACCTTTCTACCTTCTCTGCACCTCGTGTTATTTAGGGCGAGCGCAGCGGAGTCCAAAGCTGTCCCATGTCCTGAATATCTGGTGGTCGATTATACGAACATCGGCTGCAAGGTGTCCATATCGGAGCCCTACGAGACGTTCGGAGTGAAGCTAAACAAAAGCGGCTCGGGGCCCCCAATAGGGAAGAAGTTCAAGAAACATCAAGACTATGGTAAGCCGCATGACGCATGGCACAACGGGAACAAAGACCTGTGCTCATTGGTTGGTGAGGGGTTTGGTTTCTCTTCTTTAAACATTTATAAAAAATACCATAGCTCTCATTTTCGAAGTTGAATAGAACAACCTGAAACTAGAAGTTGATAGTTTGCCCAGATTCTGTCTGCTCCAGTCTTAAGGTGCCCACACACTGCTCGATTCTCGTACGAGAATCGAGCAGTGTGAACGAAGACGTGCGACCGATTCTTCTCTACGGGC